GCTTCCCCGCGGAGCGGTCGGAGCGAGCGCGCGGCGCAGCGCCGCCGCGGCGCGGCGCGCGGCGCGGGGCGCGAGGTGCCGCTTCTCGACGTCCCACAGCGGCGTGTCCCAGGCGCGCACCGGCAGCCTGGGGCTTGGAATCAGAAGTTCCTTCCCCCCCAAAAAAAAGAAAGAAACAACGAATGAAGAAGAAATGTGTGGGGGGGGGGGGGGTTAAAAAAAAATAAATGAAGAAGAAATGAAGAAGAACTGGGCGGTGGGTGGTGGGGGGGACAAAAAAAGTGACCCCCCAGACAAAAACAACAATCAAAAAACAGCAACAAATGTAGAAGAAATCCCCCCCAAGAAAAAAAACCGTTCTTCTGCAACAGCCGAGCAGCCCGCTCAACAACCGAACAGTCAATAGCCCGGCAGCCCCCCTCCAAAAAATATATAAAACAACGAATGAAGAAGAAATGGGGAGGGGGGTTGTTTTGTTTTGATTCTTCCTTTGAACCAAGCAACCAAAACGCTTGGTACCCTCAAACAAGTCGCGAAGTTTGGAGGTTCCAGCGATGGTATAGTGTGGGGTTTGCGCTTGAAAACTGCCAAGCCAAAAGGGTACCGAGCCTCAGGTAAGTGAGCAATCAGACAATCAGGGCTCCGACATCCCCTCAAATCTTCAGATAGACTGGGAGCGCAAAAAAAGGAACCACAGGAAACCACACCAGTTCGTCCAAAAGCTCCCAGCAACCTTGTTCAGCAAGGGGCTGGAAGCCTCAAGCGGATTCGCAGGGTCAATCAAAGTAAATCCTATTCAGGGGCTTGCTCATTAACCCAGACTGGGATTTTCCAAGGACACAATCGAGCCAACCGCGAGAAAAAGAACAACTAAGGGATCACGGGCTCTCGTCTGGTGGCATGCTATTTGTTTTGCTTGATCTTGAGTTCCCTGCAGATAGCAATGGATCCCCCGCGGCTTCCTTTAAACATACACATGCCGCTGCCTTTGCTCTTTCCTCTTCACACACCCTGCAATTAAGAACCTTCCTCACAGCTGCCGCTCGCTTCACCCACTTCCGCGCATGGTCACAGAAAGTTGATGCTACCAATCACACTTCTCCAGGAATGCGGAATCTCAAGATGCATCCAACCAGCCAGGGCTTCTTTCACGACCATAAGACTGGACTTGGGCTGTAACGACTCAATAATATTGCTTTCTGCTGGATGTGTTACACGCGACGCATTCTCAACAGAAACGATTTCTCATCCGGGCATTCGAGCAACTTCGACAGGAAAGCATCTGGGGTGTTCTTCGTGCCGCAAAGGAAACCATCTTCTTTCTGGCTTTATGCACCATCCAACTGGTGGTTTCCCTTAAGGACCAAAGCCTGGCATTCCCTGCTTATCGCACCGGCAAGTATTGGGGCAAACCCCGAAGCATTCGCACGGCTTTTTTTTTCCGCACACCTCGAAGCTCCGGCCTGAAGCATGTAAAGGACTCCACTTCCAGCGCGGCCTCCGGCACTGCCGGATTTCCAGGGCCTCCACGCACGCGGGTTCCCTAGGGCCTAAATCAGGGGAATACTTGCCAAATAGAGCCATGATAGGACAAAACCACTTAATGTTGACCCAGGATCAACAAACCCGTCCCATTATTAGGGGGTGTTCCCTCTAAAAGTGGTTTGAATCCCGGCAACTGTTTGTACTTCTGAGGCACGATATGTGTGGGGTGGATGATGTTTAATCATGTTTTACCCTCCGGAACAAGGCATTTTGCACACATACTGCCAATTCACAAAGTGAACACCTGCGTTCCTCGTACGAAGAGCTGGCATGAAATCGCTCAGCCATCCCTTAATTGAGCTCGCAAAGTCGCCAACAATTGCGACAACATCTCATTGGCCAAGTGGCTGCTGAGGCTCAAGATCACAGTTGTGTCACTGTGGCCTTGGTATCGCAATGGGTAATGGGTGGCCAGTGCTTGGTCAACGTTCAACCCCTAAACCTAGGAGATAACTAAATATTTGCTATCACTTGCTGGTGCGATAGGCAGGGAATGAGACATGGAATGAACCCGAGAAAAAGTCTTCCAACTGGCCAAGGGGACACAGGTTCATCCACGCCTGGCAACCTTCACCTCCTCCCTGCTTGCCGTGCCAAGCGGGGTTCCTATCCTCATGACTTTGTCACCTTCAGGAAAAATCCTTGGGCACAGCAAGTGATCCCAACCCCCCCCCCCCCACCGTGACGAAAAGTCGCTGGGAAGTGGCAACCTAAAGGGTAAGCCAACCGAAAGTCGGACCTAAACCAAGGTATCCTCCCACATATTAACGTGGAACCTGGGGTGCCCTGCAAGACCATTTTTGTTTTAAAGGGACCCTCTGTCAGGGATGCCAGGAAGTGGCAACTCTAAACCCAACGACCTTCCGACGCAGACCAACCGCGGCGATAACGCCGAGCCACGCACCGGCTGCGGCGCTGGCCACAACAGCACCATAGCTTCGCAGTAGAGGTCAGGCCAAATCCTCGAGCTTCACACGCGAAGCTGTGAACAACTCTGAACGTTGTTTGATCAGGGATCCTTACATGAAAAACACCTGAACATTGCAACTTGTAAATGGTGTTGCTTCCCTTTTTTTTGGGGTTGACAAAGCCATGTTTCAAATGGTTGCAAAAGTTTGATAAGCCGGTATCTCCAAAAGCATGCTGCTAATTTTGAAGGCCCAGCAGCTCGCGTTGCCATCAACTCTGAGTCATGAAACAAGCAAAAGCAAACAAAGGATGGGGGCAAATCATGATGTCCTTCACTTTGCGTGACGTCGCACACCTCCCTAGTGACATCGTTATTTGTTGGCCAGAAGGACGGAATCGTCAATCTTGTTTTTAGCCTATGAAGGCAGACAGCCTTCAAATGCGGACAAAGATGCAGCTCCAGCCCAAGCAAGTAGTGGTTCACCCTGCCAGCAGAGACCAAGGCCTGCAAGATTGGTTGACGCTCGGCCGGGATTGGCGCTGGTCCGGCAATCACATGCTTCTTAGTAGACATGGTTGAACAACCTCCTCAGAAAGTATGGTTGAACAAGCTCGTCAACAAATATGATTCAAAACCTTTCTTCAACAATCCTGGCCTGGCGGGGTATTCCGATATTCCCACTGACGGGCAAGAACGCCAAGAGGAAGACGACAGGCAGCGATTTGGTGGCTGAACCCGCAAAAAGGTGGCTTCTCTTCAGAACAACACCAACTGACAAGAACACTTTTCCGTTTTTTTACCTTTCAAGCCCCATCCAATTTCCGGATTCCCCAATATTTCCCCTCCGAAGCATCCCGGCTCAAACTCAGTTGAACACGACCCAGGTGATGTCATTTATTCATGTGCAGTTCCGCCAGAGCCAGGTGTTCAGACACTCTACTCAAAACCATGATTTGAACATGGGACGGTCCCTTAACCTTCATCTCGGGCTTGAATTGCCGCTCACCCATTTCGGAGCGTGCAAAGCGACCGGCCGGGAGGAATTGGTCCCTTAGAACACAATCTGGTGCAAATTCCTATCCACCAAGCGAACATCAGACATGGAACCCTATATAAGAAACCTTCATTGGCGACCTCGTTATCAAACTCCCTGAAACGTGACGTTGAACGACACATGCCCATTGTGAAAAATCTGTGCGGGCCGCGATCCCCTCATGTTGCACCTACTGTGGATGGACGAAAACCTGCACTACCTAAGAAACCCTGGAATGATGATTTCCCTGTAAATACCAACAAACAATGGCTTCTCATGGTTGTGCAAATTCGTCCATCCACAGTATGTCATAGTATGTCCCCTTTAACCATTGCGAGCTCACACTCAATCAACAGCCAAGTGATGTCTATGCAAAAACCAAAGGCCCTGAAGTGTTGCTTCCTGTCAGGAAGGTTGTTCAAAACCAATAGCTTGTTCTAAGACCAAGAAGACATTGATGACGTTGTCCTCACTTCTGGAGTGGATGGCCCGAACAAAGTAACTTTTTTTGGATGCCACTAAAATGGCCCAAACCCAAAACGTCTATAGTTCATGAACTCTGGGAGTGATGCATGAGTAGTTCACCCAGGCTCTAGGTTCCTCCCAATGGGATCATCATGGATATCAGTGGGCTTGTCTCAAAGTAGGATCCTGGGCTGGACACTTTGTGAATACAGGAATCGCATGGGTATAAATCATTAGGGCCCCTCAAAACTCAAAATTCATGGATAATAGGTGCCTACGTTTCCCCAAGAATCACATCCAGGATTTTTGTTGGTTTTTTAGATATTGGGGACCCTCTCAACTCGGGGATAGCAGGGGTTCCTTACATTGGCCCTTTCGTTTGGATCAAAAGTCTCAAGTCTGTTGGACCCACCAAGCTGCAACTTTTGAAGGGCAAACCCGGTGACCCAGGTCCAAATACTTGGTGTCACTTCCTGAGTGGACGCGCCCAAAAGTCCAGGAACCTGCAATCTACCACTCAAACGGTCCAAACCCAAAAGTCTAAACCCCAAAAAAGTGACTACTCCCAAAAGTCTAAAATGGTCCGAACCCGAAAAGTGACTCAAGTCCGAAACGGAACTCAGGGAGCGAGTGGCCACAGAGCCTCGGCTTCCTGACTGCCCTCGGGCTCCAGAGCGCACAGCTCCGCCGTCGGCCTCGACTCCCTAAGCTGCGGGATTGGAACGCATGACTTCAAAGGCACCTGCCACTCAGCCCCTTGAAACAATAGGCTCACTCGAGTTCATGGACTGTCACTTTTTGGTTTGGACCATTGTAGTGGTAAAAAGTGTCTTTTTCTTTGGCCAGGCCACTCAGGAAGTGAGTAAGGCAAGGTGTTTCAACCTGCTTTTGGTTTCCCACCAACAAAATGGGGGCCGAATGGGGCTGATTGCTTAAAACCAGGTCGCATGGGAATTCGGTATGTCTCACCGAGCCCCCAATGGGATGCATTTCTTTGTGGACAATCTCAGTGGAACCCAACTGAGCAGGGACAGTGCTTTGCAATCCTTGTAGGCCAAAACAGCTCTACTTAAATACCAAGGGAAGGCAAAACAAGCCCTCTTCACCCGTCGCATGGCCTTTGACATACAGATCATTGTAGGCAAACAAAAGCGGGAACCTTTTTTGAACCTGCGGAGAGCTTTGATTTTTGGCATGCACAAAAGCACCGGAGGAACTTTCTTCACAGGGAGCCAGTTTTATTCACTGTGAATCAAACAAGCAAAGCATTTCTCCAGTCATCACATTATTTTTGGCAAGCTTGATTATCGCTTGCTTCATTTGTATTGGAATATCATCTTGACAAATGCAGTCAAGAGCTGTCCCAAGCGGACCATCAACCCATCCAATCCGACCGTCGCCGTGTCACGAATACCTGAACGCTCAGATGCCCAGTGACCAGGGAAAAACAGGGCATCCTTTTTTGGTTGGTTGACTTTAAAGGGGAACCCTTCCCAAAAAAAGGAAAAAAGGGCACCACTGGGCAACTGGGACAGGGTCCACCCCTAACCCCTATCCGCCTGGTTCCCACAAACTTTTTGAAGGAAACCATCTGAGGGGAATTCGGTTCCTATAAATATGCCAACTCACCAACCCGACAGAAAGGGGGGGCTAAAAACCGAACCTTCATCAGGGCAGCAGGTTTCTGTTGCGACTTCCGCCCATGCGGCTTCCGCCCGTGCCAAGTCGCTCGTCCAGCGAGGACCAAAGATCACCTTACAGAAAGCCCTGGACAAAATAACGATTGGGAATGAACTTTGCTTAGGGACCCTTTGGTGGACATCATTCAGGTGGGGATTTCTGTCCGCCAACCACTTTTCAGGGGGTTCCCAAGTAAATTCATAGCCGAATGTTTCCCCAAGAGGACGTGGCAAAAAAAAAGTGGCCCCCTGACTTCCATTTGCGCTTGTGGCACGAGAAAGATTCACAAAGCTGGCCACAGCTGCCTGGTGCAGCTAATCCCTCCAATTGGCTCACTTGCTCGTTGGCGTGTGATAAAGCATTGGCCACTGCTTGCTAAGTTGCTTATGCCTGAAAGATAGACAGACAAGTCCAATTGTCCTCCAAGCAAAAACAAAGAATGCCATAGGGGTTGCGCCGGCGAAAATCAAATAATTTGGGACCAACAAAGGACACCATCCAATCAATCTTCAACTGCGAACAAATCGTCTGAGGCCTGAGCAAACCCAGGCTTCTTGGAACCAACCCCATATCCCTTCAAAACCCCATTTCGGGGGAATATGCATACATATATATATATATGTATATATATATATATACATATATATATATATATATACAACCATACACTCTTCAGCAAATGGAAGTGGATCTTCAAGTCTTAGAACTCCCAGCGCCGGTTTCCACCTGGGCCTTGGGGGTTTCGGTGTCCCTTCTCAGGCCCCTGGAGGCCCCGGCAGGCCCAGGCGGCCAGGCCCGCGCGGAGCTGCGGGACCTGAGGCGCCTCAACTTCCAGCTCCACCCGGGGGAAGAAGACGTCCAGGGCGCTGCAGGGTAGCCTCAGACCGGGGAAATCCGAAATCTGGGCGTTTTTCGCCCTCGGTTTGGGATCATCCCCGCCCGGAAATTTGGCTCTTGCCACCTTTTTGGAAGGATGGGCTTGGGGAAGGGTCAATAGGAGCGGTTGGGGGGTGCCCCCCGCTTCCTTGGGGGCTTTGGAGTGAATATGAACAAGGTGGACAAAATGGAAGGTTGCCACTTTTGGGTAGCAGACGAAAAAAAAAACAATGACCACTTTCAAAGGCGCCCATTTTTTTAAAACAGTTTTGGGGGCCGGCCGTTTTGTTTGATTGGCTGGCCCGCAACATGGGTTGCGGGCTTAGTTGGGGTCGTACGAGTACCTGGGTGAATGTGACTATTTGGGTTGAATGGTGGTACCCCAAGATGGTTTTTCTCTTGGTTTCCTTTTCAACCAAGCTAGACTGGCTTTTGACTGACTTCCCTTTACCTCTTCCGGGTTGTGCACCCCATGGTTGCGCACCGGGATTTCTGGCCTGGATGTGAACCATCTGTGGCTTAAATACGCAGCAGGTGTCCAAACACCACTACCGGAATGCGTTTGTTGATTGAGTTCTAGATTCTAGAGTTTCGGGGGTAGTGGGAACCATGTTGGATCCCACTTGCCAGGAAAGGGGAATATTTGCCGAAACCCAAGGTTCAGTCCCAAAAGGGTTTTAAGGGAGTCCAAAAGGCAAACCCTAGAAACATTCGAAGATTTGGTTCCCTGGCCGCAAACTGGGGCCCTGGCTAGACGTGGGGTGGAGTACTCCAAGCGTCAAAAAAACATTAGTCAAAGTCGACAGATCCCAAGGCACACATGGGTTTTTGTGTCTCTTTTTCAAACCGACCCCCTTTTTGGAGAGGTTTCCAGGGGAAACCATGAGGACACCGACCATTTCGGGGGTCCGCTAAAAACCACGCACCCACAAAATCTCCCTGCTGCCGTGGGGCTTCTTTGGCCACGGCCTCACTGCAAGGAGATGTTTGGAGTGTCGTTTCATGACTAGCTCCTCCAGTAGAGAGGTTAGAATAAAGGGCACCTCTTTTTTTTGTGGTCTATTTTAGTGGGGGAACCCTCCCCCCGAAGAAACGGTAACAGGGCACTAATTACTGGGGGACCATGACGTGTTGCGTGCCCGAAGAATGCGGCCTTGGAAACCGGCTGGCACGTGGCAAGACGAGGTGATGCTCGAGCCACCTTGTGCCAAGACCAATTTTCATGGGCACCGTTGCGCCAATTTCCCAAAAGCCAAAAGAATGAACGTGAACCGAAGGACAACACATGGGTATGGGTCAAAATTAAGCCACCAAAAAACCGCAGGTGTTAGTCCTTGTTTCCATTTGGCAGGGTTCCATTTGGGGTACCTATTTTTGACCCACACCCACATGTTGAGATGCGAAAACGTTCGAATTGCACCTTGAAGCGCTTCACGTTCCTACGGACGCCCGTTTTTTTTGTGAAGCGCATTCTATCCGTAGTGGCTGATGGCTGCAACAATTCAGGCAGTTGAGCCGTGGAGACCATTTCATGAGCTTTTCTAGGATCATCTAACCAAAAAGACCTGGGCAAGTTACCTTTCAGACACTTTGGTTGCTGTTGACCCCTCTGCAACAAGTTGAAACTTTTGTGGGTCCAATGGAAAATACACAGTTTCGCAAAAAGTTAAAGTCGAAAGATCCGTTACCAAACAGCCACAAAACACACAGGCTTGGCGTTTTTTAAGACCTGCGCGGGTGAGCTCGTCCGGCATGGGAACTGCCAGGATTGGAAGGCCTCTTTGATACTGAACCTCCGAGCCTGACTCAAAGGCACTCAAACAATGGCTCATGCGCACAGCACTGGCTCAGAGCCGTTGTTGAGCTATATGACAGGGGCCCTCAAGAACAGTTCCGGGCTCTGAATCACTACAATCTGATATCATTCACACTTGGCGGCCATTGCCCTCTCAAACGTCATAACTGTTTGTTGGCAGGCGACAAATACGCACACACACAGACACACCTTTCTCACAATTTTGCAGCACGAAAAAACATATGGCCAACAAGGTGTCAAGGTCAGAAGGGAGGAAAACATAGGGAACCAGTTGAATGTGAACCGACCGAAGCAGATCTGACACACCTCCGGCGCCCGGGCCCGCCTGCTGCTTGTGCGCTTCTGGGCGGAGCGCCAGTTGGGGCTGCGGCAGTTGCTCTGCCAGGTGCGGCCGTAGCGAGTATCCAACCTGATGCCCTCCCTCCAACAAACATACTGTGGATTGACAAAATCCAATTCGCACCACCTAAGAAACCCTGGAATGGTGATTCCCCTGTAAATACCAACAAACAATGGTGTCAACCATGGTTTCAAAGTGGTGTAGGATTTCGTCCATCCGCAGTAGCACCTGTGGGAGGGTACCCGGAAGACGACTTTCCTCTTAGGGGTACCCTGTGTCAGTTGCCATGTTAGTGGGAGGGAGGGTCGGGGAAATGATCCAAATCAGGTTTCACTGGCGAAACCAGGAAGGGGTTTTGTCTGAGAAACCCAATTTTTTGATTTTCAAACCTTGCTAGCTGAGGGACTTGGGGAGAAACCCCTGGAGAACCCCCCAAGATCGGAATTCGGGTGCAAGCCCTCGACTGCCCTCCGAAATGCTGTGCTCGTGGCATGTGTTTTTTCCAAAGTGATGTGCTCAAACAATTGGCCTTGGAAGTACATGATTTTAATAGTGACGTCTCATTGACTTTTAATAGTGTTTCAAGGGAACTCTCACACGAAATACCTCTTCAAAGGACACCGCCCCTAAAGGGGCCACGTACACCCTAAACCCATCGGTCCGATAGCTGACTTCCCTTTCCGAGAAGCAGGCCATGGATATTGCGCATGGACCACACGCTGAGGCCATCCAAGAACCAACCTAGGATGATGCTCTCATGCGCGGGGAAGGGAAGAAGCAAGAACGTGTCTCAAATAAACCATATTGTTCTTTGACGGGAAGGAGGAACATCTCAAACAATCCTTGCTTTTCTTTATTGGAGCATCTAAAACAAAATGCAGCTTCGGCACACGAAGCTAGTGCTTGGTTTAAAAATCCTGGGCGCATGTCCATCTCCCGTGGTGTTAGGATGGACATATCACTATGTATCAGCGATATACTCCGAAGAGCCGTGGGCCCTATTCACTGAGCGTGGGTATGGAGGGCGAATTAGGTCCACTGTGGTTCTAGGGCAACCTCCCAGGTGAAAAAGTCCCAGCCCCCGCCAAAAAAAAATACGTATGCCAAACAGCACCCCTTCTCCAAGCCCAGCTTTCCTAGAACCTGCTTGGGTTCCTGAAACCTCAAATCGGGGCCGCTAGCCCCTGCTTGGTCCCAGCTACGTCTCAGTGGGAAGACCAAGGCAGCCGGCACCTCCTCTCCGTCCATGATGAAGTCTTCCTTGTCCTGGGAAGGTAACATGGCGTCCAGCGCGGCTTCTGATGCCAAATACAATATTTTCGCGTACTGGGCCATTTACCTTGAGGACCGCTTCCATAAACTGCCACCAGATTTCATGCCTCTTGTAGGTCACCTGATTTGTGGTTGTTTTCTGTCACTGCTGATACCCCCACCAGACTTCGAGGTTGGGACCTGTCCACGACAACTTCCAAAACTTGTACTTGCGTTTCTGATGCCGCTAACAATTCCTTTTAACACCATCAGGGGGTACCAACAAATTCTCCGAAAAGCTTCCAACTAGCACGAGGACCCGTGAGAAAGGTTGGTTTCCCTTGCTTTGACTTCGGCTTCGCCCCAAAGGGGTCCCCAATTCCAGGGGAAACAAATCCCGGCGCATTTTCTTGTGCTCGACAATGACCTCTCAGTCCAGAAGACCTGTTGCAGACCATTCAGCCGAAGGGCCGCCTCTGGCCAGTTGCAAAGGTAGACATCCATGATGGGATCGGAGACCCTGAAGCTCCGGAAATCGCGCACGCTGCGTGCTTCACTCAACAACACATGTGTTCTTGTCCAGCCACCACTTTTCCTCCTGAATCCCAAGTGAAACGATTACAAGCAAACCAGCACAGGGGCACAGGGGCCACCGGGGTCCCAGCTTCTTTTTCACCCCTTTAAAGCCAAGTGGGAAGGTGACAAACTCAGCTTCAATTGAAAGGTAGCTTCCAGGGTTGAGCCCAAATGCGTAAAAAGGGGGTTTATTAATAAACAGGGGTTGATTAATCCGCGGTCGGCAGAATGTCTCCCTTTAAACATCAGCCTAAGAGGAAACTCACGCACGCTCCAAGCCGAGCAGCTCGCGGGTGTTGCTGAGCACCGTGGCGGTGTCCTAGCAACAGAGTCGCATGGGATGACCATCGGTTGGAGATCCAGCAGGAGGATGATTCAGTGGGGATTGGGATGTTCAGTGGGGGACGGGATTTTGACGCATGGCCACATGGGAAAAGTTAAGCAGGGGTCAAATTTGGGGACCGAACGGAATATTGATCACCCCCCCCTTTTTTGGCTTTTGATGGGTAATTGTCAAGCTTTTCTTGGGATTCTTTAGCTTCTGACCAGGGCAAACGCTTGGGCGCGGTTCATGCATTGATTTGGGGAGGTGTCTGTTTTTATCGGGTACCTCTTTAAAGATGAAAGGCTAACCACGCATTTGAAACGGTTTCCTGTTGGGAGACCACTTCAAGTGTGGGACTCTGGCTCCGATGCTCAACCTCAGACATGAGTCGAGCCTTGAGGTTGAAAAGGTACTTCCTCTCCATCTGGGTGAATTATAATATTTCACCAACCTGAAATAAGGTGGTTGGGACTATTCCCTACATAAACCACCATCTGGGGTGAATTCGGTCATGTGAGGTCGTTATGATTCACCCAGCTCCATGCTTCCTCGGTGCCTTCTCGTCCGGGCTCCAGTGGCCCCACAAAAGCCGACAGGACAAACGGCCTCCGTGTCGAAGAAGAGCAACTTCTTCTGAGCTCGCTTGGCATCCACGGTGAAGTAGAGCCTCACTCAGCTTCTCCAAACTGCGGGAACCCGCCCGTTATTGAGGAACCTCATGTCTGTCTGTTGGCCACAGGTTTTGTTCCATTTTCTAAGTCTGAGACAAACCCAACTGCTGGCCCCAGTCAGGTTTATGCTAGAGAGACCGGCGCCCCAGAAGGGAAAACCAACTCCCGACAAAGGTGCTTCAACTAGGGCGGGCACCCCCAAGCATCGGCTGGTTTGTCAGTTTTCTTTGTGTTGACACTCGCATTCCGATCATTGTCGCTGGCAGCTTTTGGGTCCATTCGTCCGATTCCTGGACGCCATCCTGTAGGCGGGATACAAAGGCAAATGAACCAAACCTGACCCATGATTTGCTTCAAGAAACCATCAACCGTCAAGATGAGGTAATTACTGTTGACCCCAAACTGATAAACCTGGTTGATTAATATGGGGGTGGCCCCTCTGATTCGAGATTCAAACCCCTTTTGGGGCGAACCCCCCCTATTGAAAGGATGGGTTTATCAATCCAGGGTCAACGTGGTGCGCTTCAAGTTGTTGGTATGTGCCACTGGCAAAAACCTGTGAGCGTTGATGCAGCACGTCCACAACAAACCACTGAAGAATACGAATCTGCCAAGGACATGGGATCTGGCACTTTTTTCGTGCTGCCCTTTGAGGGTCCCATTAAAAACAGACACACCAGCAAATACAAACATGGACCAGCGTGCAGCACGAGAAGCTGCCATTTCTCTCGGACGGCCTGCTTGCGTCAACTTCGCATGCCTTTTCAGAGGAAGAAACTCATCAGGGTGGCAAAGAGCCTTTCGCTAGTTGATGTTGATTCAATTTAGCACGGCTTGCCATGATCCAGATTCCAAAGTTAGCATCACTCTGCCACGACAATATGCCCAAAGATTGTTAGAGACTCTTCGTTTGAGAAACGGACTTTGTTCAGTTGCTGGGGTGTGTGATCCATGGCTGAACCAAACAAGTCAACCAACGCTTCCTCCCCGTGGATCTCACTGGAGTACCATCAAATTATCCCTGCTGGGTACGTGTTTTTTTCTTTTTCTTACCATACCATGGATTTCCCAAGGATAACCGGACATCCACACATGGGTTGCCAAATTATGTTTGCCCAGCCCCTTTCTAAACAAACATCAGAACAAAAAAACAAGGAGACCCCCCCCCCCAAACAAACCAACTGGCGGCATTTTCCACCGGCCCTTCTAGACTCCGAAAAGGGACACCAAGCCTCAACACGCGCCGTGGGCTCCTTGGGCATGGAACTCCGCTTTTCCGGCGCGGACATCCCCGAAGCTCCCTCACCCTGGTTTGTTTTTTTTGTGTGGGTTCGTCCCTACCAAAGACTTCCACCAACACCCCTCCCTCCTCCCCCCAACCAAAAAAAATAAAAATCAGGGGGGGGGGGTACCCTGAAGAACCCCAAAAAGTTCTCAATTTGGGGTGGTCTCTTGACCCAATGCCCGCCACCCCCCCCCCCCCCCCCGCCGTGGCGCTGGAAGGAGCCCCTCAGCTGCTCCGCGGCCGCGGCCACGGCGCGGCACCGCTCGCGCGCCAGGCAGGCCTGCTCGAGCGGAGCGCGGCGTTCGCGGCAAAGGTTTTGGCGAACACAAAAACTTGAACTCCTCCCCCCCGCAGTCACCCACCCACGAATGTTGACTCCATATTTTTCAACCCCTTTTTATTAATAGGGGGGGTGTGTTCCCCTCAGTTTGGCTTAGGGTCAACACGGCTGTGGGTGAAAAATAGGGTAACCCCAAAATGGAACCCTGGTGAATGGAAACATGAACTAAAACCTGCGGTCCACACCCGCATAGTGTAGTTTGGGTAGTGGGTTAGGGTCAACACAGTTTAAGGGAATTGGGACCCGAGAGAAAACCCCCCGGTGTTTTGGACTCAAACCTCTTGCGAGTCCCTGAATTGTTGGAATCAAGCGCGTGGATTCAAACACAATTGATAAGGAAGGGGGCGTTGGTGCTGCCATGTCGTAGAAAACGGGTCATTGGTTGTAGAGTTCCTCCTTGGATCACCTTCGGCCATGGAAAGTCCGTCTTTCCTTTGTGCAAGGCAAGACACTGCCCGGGCCTTTATTCGCTTCCAAAAACCAGGGCCAAGATTTCTTTCTCTTCCTGTTACACCACTTCTTTTGGCTCTTTCGAGGCGATGGTTGAAACCAACTTTGCCACCCTGGCCCCGAAGGAACCCCACGTCAGCTCCACTCGGGCACGCCTGCGGCGTATTGCCATGGAGCAGCAGCAGCAAAGTCAAGAAGTCTTCCTCGTGGCTTTTCGGCACGCACCTCAGAACGCTCGACATGTCTTTGGATGATTGCGCGAGCAAGTCCCTGCCCAATAGTGTCCAGTTCGGATGATTTCGCAAGCAAGTGCCTGCCTGATAGTGATTGGATGGCCAACTTTTGCTTGGCAGTCTATTTACACACACTATCTCGCTGGAGAAAATTGAAAAGGGCCCCGCCGCAAAGCTTGAACACCTGGGAACACGTTTGCGAGATTCGGGGATGCAAACCCTCCAGATCCTGTGATCAAACATCCCTGTTAGCACATGGCGATTCAGGTTTGCACACCCAGCAGAATTACTCAGCAAACATGGAGCAGAACAAACATGGCCAACCAGCTAACCTTCCATACTAGAACCCGGTTGCAATACCAAAACAGCCTCCTTTTGGCCCACGTGTAAGGTACACCAAACATACCTTTGCAGATGTTTTATATTGAGTTTACCCGAAAGTATAACATGGCTGTGGTTGTCAAACATATGAACCCAAAAGTGGGTTGGTACATGGAAACATGGACTGAGCTCGGTCCATTTCCTGGGGTGACTCATTTTGACCCATGCCCACATGGTTTTGGAGGCAGCGGCGTGGCGAAAAGATCCGGTCCAAGGCGCACATCACCGTCGTTCTCCCAGGGCAACGTGCCGTGGTGCCTTCGGAAAGTGGGTGTCTCACGACGGCTTCCCGGAAAGGTGTGGAAGAATGACACGCGTGCGGAGAAATGGTGGTTTAAAAAAGGGGGCACTATGTTTCCCACTTTGGGTGGTTGACAATCACCTCGTTGTGGGCGACAAATCTAAAGCCATTTGCTTTTTGTCAGGTTGTTTATTGAAAAGAGAAACACAAAGAAACGAGTAGAGAACCTCCCAGCTTCCTATTTCTCCCAATGGACCTCTTAGTCATAAGCAATCCACGGCAATGAGCACCCAGTAAATAAAGCTCCATTCAAACCGACATTGTTGACATGGAGATGTATGTCCACCAACCATTTTGCTGACATCCGCAGATTCCCAAAGAACAGAAAGGATGGCTGAGGACCTGCCCGCGATTTTGAATGGACCTCATATGGAAGGGTTGAAGGTTTCGAGCTTGGACACCCACACATCTTGAAGGGAAAACTCTGAAGGGGGTAAACCAAACTAGTGTTGTTTGGCCAGTTTCGTATCAAACGCAAAAAGGATGCCCGCCACAGACAGAGGAGTGAATGACAGTTGGGGGGGCTTCAACGTTGCTACAAGGCCCGACAACTTAAGACACATCGGATGCATCCCCCCTTTCGGCCCAAAAGGATGCAACTGCACGACTTCTCAACTTGGATCGTTGTCGACGTTCTTCAGTTTGCATGGTGTCAGACCAGGACAGAGCCAACCCCTTTGCTCAAACCGGTCGGTTGGTTGGCTGCCTGGTTGAGCTGCGGTTCTTTGAACAACCTCCTGGCTGCTTCCCGAAGGGGACCGGGGCTTGGCTGTTCCACCAACCAACCCTGGTTCTGACCAACAAGCACACAGGCACTCGTGGACCAACCGGATGCGGCGGCAACCAACCACCTCTGTCTGAGACCGCTTGACAAATTGGGCCCCAAACTTGGGGGGTAGCGCCGGCACACATGGTCACTATGACTCCAACTTGGCGCACAAAACGTGGCAACTGATAAAATGAACCCACGTTGCCACAACCACTGTCTTGAACGCCAGGGTAATCTTGTAAAGTCGATTCAGCCCCTGATCGAAAAATAAGGGGGGCGGGATCCCTCCGGTTCATCATCCGCAAACCTTTCTCTGGTTGCTTGACGGCAGGTTTTCCCCTCCCAAGCGGCAAACATCACCACAGGTCTGGGGATTCTATGAAAAATGCTCCCCTTTGAGAAGTTGTCCACGGTTCCGCAAATCTTCGTTCACCCGGATCGGTGGAACTGCTCGCCATAAAATAAGCTTGAATACCAAAGAAATGGGGTTCGCTTTGACATTTCCCCTTCAAAACCGAAAAGGCTACTTTCACGCGCGTCATTTCTTGGGCCACTTTTTGGGCTCAACCAAACTATTTGTTTACTCAAATGGTCCACCCCCAAAAAATCCGTTGGCCCATGAGCTCAGGAAGTGAACCGTCCGGTGCCCGAGCCTCGCCAAGCCCAGGATGGGGCCCCGGATGATGAGGTACGGGATCCCGAGCTCCCGGCAAAGGTCGTGGAAGGCCTTCCAAAAAGTTCCCCGGCGGGTGGCGTGGAACACCTGTTTTTTTTGTTTTTGTTTTTTTTCTCCTCCCCCGAGGTGATCGGTACCCCAACTTATTGGTTTGTTTATTTTTTACCAAATGCCCCTCAAGCATTCTGCGCTTTGGTCCAAAGTTCAATGGAAAACAACATCAAAAAAACAGACCCATGTCGAATTAACAATTGGGTCTGAGGCCCCTCCCCTCCGCTCTCCTGCCTCCCTGCCTCCCTGCCTCCCTGCCTCCCTGCCTCCCTGCCTCCCTGCCTCCCTGCCTCCCTGCCTCCCTGCCTCCCTTCCCTGCCTCCCTGCCTCCCTTCCCTGCCTCCCTCTCTCTCCCTCCAACGTGCAATGGCATTTTCGCTATCCACGCCGATCTCCGCAGAGGTGATCCGCGGACCGCGGATTCGAACAAAAACAACAAACATGTTTTTGGACATTGACGGCCGCGCGCGGGTGGTGGGTGGTTGTGGTGGGTGGTTGTGGTGTCAGGCTCACGGGTCGCAGCGAGGTGGTGGTGGTGGTGGTGGTGGTGGTGGTGGTGGTGGTGGTGGTGGTGGTGGTGGTGGTGGTGGTGGTGGTGGTGGCGGTGGCGGTGGTGGTGGTGGTGGTGGTGGTGCTGTTGGTGGTTCCGTTGTGGTAGTGGTGGTGGCTGCGTGGCTAGTGGTGTGGTTGTGGTGATTGAAGATCGATGAATGGATGGATGGATGGATGGATGGATGGATGGATGGAGTGGATGGATGCCCCTTTATGGATCAATACTGAAATGCTCGTCTGTCTACTTGCCCTCTTGAGCAAGCATGCAAACACATGGAACCCTTCTCCACTTCAACCTTCGAAGTTCTCCGTTGACGAAGCTCCACAAGCTGTTGCCGTAGGCGTGAGACGCCATCCACATGATCAGTCACTTAACTTTGGCTCCGTCCGACCTACGCGCCTTGTTTCCTACGAGCGCTTTGTTTGTCAGTCCTGCGCGCCGTCCACATGCGTTATACCTAAGCCTGTTATTTCAGCGAAAACAGAACCGATAGGAGGGGACAAGCACACCCAGAAAAGATAGGACAGACAATACAGGACAGCGTGTAGAGAACGACAGAAAGACAGAAAGTATAAGGAAGCGCTCAGAATGACGCTAACAATAACAAGAGTATGATAATACAACGATCATATTCGAGGCGGGGACCCCACAGCACGTCTGAAATGCGACCAACACCTTTTTTCCCCTTCTCTATCGCTCATATCCCAAACCCCCAACCCAAAACTTACAAGCCCTGATACAAAAAGACGTTGATACCCTCCCTAGCCCCTTGTCTTGTCACTCTTTAGCCCCTGCTGTAAGGCCTAGCTTCTAACATCGTCTAACCTCTTAACCCCCCAACCACCCCACACCCCGACCCCCGATCAACCCATCCCCTGAACGGAACTCCCCCCTCCCCCAGGCAATCTTGAAGCCTTGGCTATGTGCAGCTTTCAAGTCTCATCCAGACCCGCCTAAAACCTAACACAGCTATGGACCTAGCTGAACAGATGGCTCCGAGTCAACCCATTCCTGTCAGGAGAATATCAGGATCCGACTTTCCGGGTCGAAAAAAGTCGGAAGTCTTCACCAACCTTGGCATGGTGGCCAAAAACGGCGCTTTTTTTTGCAGCCCCCTGCCACAAATGAACAAACCAACGGTGTGTTTTGTGCAGGCCCCTAAACAATGAACAGAACCCAAAAACCAAACAACTAGCCAAGCATGAGGGAGTAGTAACCTCAAGCCATCCCTGGAGCAAACGTTTCGACCCGACTTTCGACTTCCCCGCCGCGAGGACTTGGAGATGCCGCGCTCGGTCCGCGGCATCGAAGTCCGGAGCGAAGGGCAAAGGCAGCTGCCCTGGGCGAAAGCTGATGGGAGTCGCAATGTCACCAATGGGTGGCATTTCTGACGGACCCCCCTCCCCAGATGGTGGTTTTCCTGTTGGTTTCCTTTCAAAACCAGAAAAACAAAGGGTAGCCTCAAAAGACACCCCCAGAGGGGCATGAATTTTAATGAGGGACCCGAACAGGTGAACATCATTGAGGTGGGGGTTATGTCCACCAACCACTATTCAGTAAAAATCATAGCCATATTGGGAACCAACGGTTCTGGAGTTTTGCTTTTATTCCGTCTGTGGGCTTTCATATGGCTGCTGTCAAAAAATGGTGAAAAAAAACAAAGTGGAAGCCTGGTAAATGGACAAGAGGATTAATCGTGGTCCCCTGATGGTTTAATTTTTGACCCATATCCAGACTGGGAACCGACGATTTGTGGGCTGTGCGCCTTGCTCGATCTCCTGCAGGGCTGCTCGCTCCACCTGGGTCCGCCGGATGTGTCTAAAAGTATCCCGTTTTGGCAGAGGCTAACGGAAAACGGGACACGGTTCAGGGTATATTTCTTGTTTTGAGACACAACCATATGTGCGAAGAGGGCACCGGTTTTTTGATAGTGCCCTTTTTGGGTTGAAGGGCCACTCCAAGGCAAAAACATTTCTTTGGAGACACACCCCAGAAGTCAAACCGGACGTTTGGAAAACCCGCCACCAGAGAGAACCAACGAATTGGAATGCCCGGGCCCCAGCCGGCCATGGTTGTGATTGGACAGGGCCCGGCAAATACCTCATGGCCCAAGGAGAGTCACTTGAAAACGGCGAAAACAATAGTGATCCAAACCAAGTAAAGACATATCTCTCTTTCAGGGTTATTTAAGGGTGTCACAAACATTACACACTTGTTTGGCTTATACGTATGAGTTAATTTCTTTATAATGTCACCACAACCCTGATTCGAAGCATTCAGGCTATTTTAGTAATAAGTGTAACAAGTGCAACAAGTGTTCGCTTCAAGGAAACAACACGACTGAGACAGACAGGTCTTCAATGCCAACCTCGGATTGAACCGAAGGACCATACCAACAGGAAGGTTCCTCCCCCTTTAGAGAGCTAATAACCTGGTTTCGATTGCTCCTCTGAAACGGAACGGCTTTATCTAGTTTTGCCAGCCCTTCCCATGGCCCAATGGCCCCATGCGCTTGGGTTGGCTTCTTTTGGCGCTTGCCCGGCCTCCTCCTCCTCTGCCTCCGCCTCGGTGGTCTGCCAGTCCTCCGTCTTGAAGCCCCCCACTGTCATGCGCGCACTGCAGGCCATGCTGGTCCTCGGGGAGGTCCACTTCGAAAAAAGCCCTCACCGAACCTTCGCACCCTCTGCAAATTAAAGCTCACTGGATGGCCCAAAAAGAAGTCAAACTTTGTGTTCAAACCTAGAATGGTCTTCCCAAAAAGTTTGAAGTTCATGAGCACAGGAAGTGAGAAAGCGTAGGTGGACGGACCACGAAGGTGAAAACTTGAACCCACCCAGTTGCAACTAGTGACCGGAATGGTTGGCAGAAAATGGACAAGAACCACGCCCCAGACTTAGACTGCCTGTAAAAGGTAAACGCATCTTGCTGGTTCAAAGGAACCAGAAGAGGTTGCTTGCTTTACCTAGGAAACAACAATGTCAACCTTCTGAACAAAACACATGAGTAAGTAGTCCAGGAACCAAAAGTGACAACTTTTCTGCGTTTCAGCCTAACTCGTAAACCTAATCCCTAAAACACCTAAACCAAAACCTGAAACGCCCTAAACCTGAACCACAAACAGCCAAAAACTAAACTCTACCAGCCCTAGCCTAACCCCTAAAACCCCAATCTATACCCTCAAAACTATTCTCGACCTAGCAAGCCCGTTACCACCAGGCGGATTTCGTTTCGAGGTTTGTCGCACGACCTCAGAGTGAAACCATTGAAACCCTTACCCAAACCGGAAAGATGAAAGCAGGAAAGCTATGCTTGCTGGTGCTCGGTAGGGAGTGACCCAGGTTTTGGGAATGGGATTTCCAAAAAGGAAACCATTGGGGATGGCGACCGATGGCTTTTTTTCGGGGGTCATTCCATCATTCCCTGCCTATCGAACCAGCAAGTATAAGGACCGTGGATTTGTGAGGGCAACTTAGTTTCCTTTTTCAGCCAATTCTTCCGCGAAGACAGCACTCTCCCAACTACCTCTAAAATGTCCCCACATCCCCTGCTAAAAGTGACGTGGGTGAAGTGGAAACCCCCACTAAACCCTAAAACCAAAAAACCTAGGGGGACGGCTGGGAACCGCCAAGAAAACCTGATCTTCAAAATCGAAAGGCTCAATTCTACTGCTTCGGACGAAAAACGGACCGTACTCGGTGGCTAAGGACATGATCCTAGGTGGGGGCTCCGCTCACTGTCCTCTCGACTCAAGGAGAACGTGACAGCCTGATCCTGAAAATCGCTTTGCAACGAGTTTTGTGAAAATTCTAGCAGGCTTAGGGTGGGTTGAGAACTTTTCTTGGCCAGGTGTGTCACTCAGGTTGTTGCTCAATGGTGTTGGGGCAACGCTCCAATCGACCAATAGCCCCGCACTGGCATACTGTCACCCGAGCACTTTTTGGAGGCTCGTCCCAAACCTGGGATTTAAGTCTTTTCTATTACCATTTCGGACGGCAAAGATGTGAGATGGTACCAAGCGTTGATCAGTCGAACATCCTTCCACAAAACTGACATTCGAAATAGAATCTGAAATGGCGGTTCAAGGTCGGCGGTTCAGCCTGCCGACTCTCATTCAGAAAGTCCAACAACTCCGCCCCATTTCGCGCTCTAACATCTCTCCCTCCTCTCCAGCGCCGGGAAGACAGGCACCGCGAGACCTTTGCTTTGGCCAGTGCTTTGGACTGTGGGCAACGTCAACCAACGTGTGAACCAAAAAGAGCACAAAAAACATGAAGGGTACATAAACCATAAGAGTAAAGATAAGGCCAAGTTGCTTGTGGGCAATTGAGCGGTGTCTCAAGGCTTCTGAGTTTGGGATGGGAACCACTCCACGGTGATATCTCGGAACCTCCCCTTATGAACTATGTTTGTTTGGCCGGGCGGTTTCACAGCTGTATCAGGGTGATACTTTCAGCAGTTTGCATGGACCAGAAGTATGTATCAGATGTATCAAAATCGGGATTCGGACCCCCAAATGGAATCAGTGTTCTGCTTGGTTGCACAAGCCTTAAAAGCGTATTCTTCTCCTCGGGGGGAAAAAACAACAAAAACAACGAGCCACACCCAACTTGCCAGGATTTCGAGACCGGGAAGGTCCTGGCGAAAGCTGACGACTTGAATCGATGGCCCTACATGGAATACGACGAATCTAAACCAGCGCCATCCGATCTATTTCTGAACAAACTAACTGATCAAAAGGACCCTATATGCGTGTTGAAATAGGAGATCTGGAAAAGGGGAAACACGATAACTGTACCCATCCCTTTTGGGTTCCTTGTGGGACAGATTGGAATCGTCTATTCTTGGTTGCTGCTAAAACCTCTACAAAAAGCTGATTTTTTTGTGGGTTTAAAGGGGAAACTCTGGACTTCCCAAAAGTTAAAGTCTAAAAATCCAACCCAACAGCAAATATTCAGCACTCGGTTAGAGAGGTTGTGGAAATGGGGAAGAGGTCCACCAAAAGCTACGCAGTTTCGCATTAGTTGCTAGGTGTACTAAGGGATGAAAGACGGAGCGGGAGAAGAGAAGGACATGTATAAATAATAGATTCATAGTTGGCTTTATGTATCCTCTCTCTTCACTCGTCATAGTGTAGGATAAAAGAAACAAGCGAAGGCCATCCCATTCACCATTCTATATGAGATTCTTTTGGCTGTGAATAGAGAACGAGTGAACAAGGGAATATTACTGCGTTTTCTTTGTGTCAACTGGTGCATTTTGTAGGTTTTCCATCCGCGGTAAGAAAGGAGTCAGGGTCACCTCCATCACCGATTTTTTCGGGGAATCAGGCTGGCTGTGGCTCGCCTGACCTGCTGCCCAGTCGCCAAACAAGATGCTGCCCACACGCTGGGCCTCACTAAGTTCGTTCAGGATCCAGAGTGCTTTCAGCTTCTCCTGGCATCCGCGGACGCAGCTGTCTGTGCCTTTTTGAGGCACAGCACCCTTTCAGGCTTTAAAGGGAAACTAGAACGACCACCACAACTCTTGGGTCCCGCTACTTTGACCCATGCCCACAAATACATATATACATATATTCATATGTATACACATATGTCAACGGTGGAGCGCTCGCCTTGTGCATCACCGGGCCTGTGAACTCACAGTGGTGAGCTGGGAAGAGCCTCGCGGCATATGCCGCGCGCCCCGTGTGGGTCGGGTGGTTTCGTCATTTCCCAGGCCGTCCCGGGTGATCGCCGTCAGCGGAGCAGTGTGGACTCGAAGAGGTCGAAATCGCGGCTGCAACTTGTTGATCTCGGCTCAGCGACGTGATTCAGCTTTATGGAAACTTGACCTGTGCCCAAGGCAGTTCAGGAAGACCTCTCGGACCCTTGAGGTCCATCGTTTGCAGCCTTAGAGCCGAATACAAACGCCCGAGCTCTCCACCGCTTGAGCTGCTTGCCAGGATCGTCTTCTTCCTGCCTCCACAAACCCATGCGTAAGTCCATGGGTCTGATGTTCTTCTGTTTGCAGGTGCCCTGAAATTGCGTCCTGGTTACCCTGAGCCTCGTGCTGTGGCTGGTCAGTGCTTTCACTGCGCTGCGCACTTCCAAGTTCGCTCGGGCCTCTCTCATGGCAAGCGTGCAAACTGCCCTGCGAGCGCAGCAGCCTCTTTTTTCTCCTTCCCTTTGGACTAGCAAAGGTGGAGCGCTCCCTTTGTTTGTCAGCTGGTCGTGCGCGGGAAAGAGTAGGGTCGGGTGGTCTTGTCAAAACATTATACATGCACTCGGCGGCGAAAGTCGGTGCACGACAGCTTACACAAGCAAACCTGCATGAGACGCAAGCGCATTCACGAAGTCAGAGAAGTCAGTGCAAAACTTGCCAAATCCCACTGTGACGCAGTATGTCAAGATGTCCGTTTTTAAGCACTAATTTGGACGTGCGAGGTGTAAATCCCACTGTGACGCAGTATGTCAAGATGTCCGTTTTTAAGCACTAATTTGGACGTGCGAGGTGTAAATCCCACTGTGACGCAGTATGTGAAGATGCCCGTGTTTAAGCACGAATTTGGACGTACGATGTCCCAATGGGACGCAATAGGATGTGCAGCTGGGAAAAGTATCCAGTGGGAGCACCGGAAGCAACAAATCCAAATGGGACGCCGCATGGCATGTATAATCTTGTTCCAAACACTCCTTCTCAAGTGCATCTTCGAGCTCAACGCGCAGCCTCTTCTTGATTGGCGTCGCCGTTGCAGGTGGCTGAGCTCGCGCGCCCCTTGAACCCCAATCTCACGGGCGCAGCGATGAGTTACGCGTGTGTCCCAGGAGGGCAGCCACAAACAAAACCCGTTCCGGAACACGAATCCCCATGGGCATATGGTTTTAAAGCGAACCTAGCGGAGGGTGTAAATCAAAGTCACATCTCCCAATGGCACAGCGCAGAAAGAGGAAGTCATATCAGTGTGCTCGCCCGAACTTACCTAAGCACCGCGAATCCAAAGACCGTGGGCTCATTGAGGCAACGTGCTCAAAACACACAGCAGGCGCAAAACGCAACGACTTCTACAGATGGGTGTAACGCCACGCTCAAAACCAGCACTCTCCAAAAACACTGCCTCCAGTCCGCGTGCAACGTTCGCTCAAATCCCAATGGTATGGCAACAGGAAGTCTGCTCACACAAAATCCTGCCGCTTGGAATTCGAGTTCAACGGTAACCATACATATGTAAACCCCCACCAGGACGCAAGCCGCACCGACTTCCTCAATCAGTACCCTGCATGGCACACGAAGTTGGACGCAGACGCACCGACTTTCACCGGAGAGAGTATGTATTTATATATATATATACATACATTGTATACATATGTGTATATATAATAATATTTACATACACCCCATATTTTATTCCAGAGGTTGGCATATCCAAGGAGCTTCATGGTGCAAAATGCCGCTTTTCCGAAGCAACAGTAGGAGGAGTGGTCCTCTTTCGGATGAATTTGAGGGTGCAAAATATTGAATCGTTGGAATGCCTGGATGGGCCTCCCGCAAACAAACATGGCAGAGTACTCTTGCCAAAGGGTCGGTGAACTTCCATGTTGGAGGGAGGGCAAGTCATGAGTACAAGAGAAGCATGGCTGTGACCTCTCCCAATGAATGGTGTTCATTTAGGTTTTCTTTCAAGCCGTCCTAAGGTTCCTAATTTCCTTTCGCTCCGCTTTTAATCTGAATTTCAATTGAGCGGTGATCAAAATCAATAGGCCAACTTGCGATGATATCATTTGGCGCTTCCGCGTGCTTCCGCGCTGCGGGTGTTTGCTTCCGCGCTCTCATTTCCCTTCCGCGCCTTCCGCGGCTTGCGTCTCTTTCTTGCCAAGCCAACACAACTAGATATTGAGCGCGTTGCCAACAGGATCACTGCAGCAATATTGATTCACGCGGGCCTGGCAAATTGCTTTTGCTGTCCCTGAGAGGCTGCAGCTTGACGAACCTTGAACCTCCAACTGTTGCCTCGTATCCTGGGAGGTCCGGGTGCTCCACCGACTCACCACGTTGTTCTGTGAAACAAGGGCGCCTGGCTAGAATAACTGCTTTCTGACCACCACCCAAAAAGGGCCCGATCACACCCAGGAAGTATAAACTGTAGCCTGATGGCGTAAACCTTCGTGGTGAAAATCTGCGGGCGCATCAAAAAGGCCAGCACCACAGTCAAGCGAGCATGGCATGGCAAAGGGCTTGAAAGGCACAACTGCCACAAGGACCAATTGAAACGCAGCCAACCAACGCCCAAAAAGCCGTGAAGAGTAAGCCCCGCACCAAAGCTTTCCCCTTGTGCTTGGAGCTCCCGCAACAGCATGGTGGTGGGTGGAAGACCAAAGGGGGCAAGGTAAAGGGAACTGTAAAGGGAACTGTAATTCAATTATTGAATAGCTCCTTTTCCCTTCCCTTGATCATGCGGTTCTTTTGATCCTTTCCCCTTCCTCTTGATTTCCCTTCCCTCCAAACTGCCCTTGATTTGACACATGGGACAAACCTCTTTGGTTTTCTTGTGTTTTTCTCCCAAACACCCAACGCATCCGTAACCACGAGGGAAGTGGGGGTCCCCAGCACGTCGGGACCCGGCTCCTGCGCAAACATCAGCGAGGCGCAGGAGTTCATAGGCTGCGCCGGCGCGCTCTCCTGGTGTCATTTTTCTGGATTCGGACCCGCCAACGTGGCTTCGGCTTCCAGTTGGTTTCCAAAACAACAAACCACCAAAACAAGGGTACGCTCCACAAAAAGACACGCGTAAAAGATGGCGGATTGTGGCAAAGCAACCTAACAGGTACCTTTGACATTTTTAGGAACCTTCTGGCGTGACCCCCTTCTGTGAGCTTGAGCACCATCGCCCAATGCATGGAAGATCCTCACTCGACCATCCAAGGCCTTTCCCTGAATAGCCTCCTTACATTCCTCCCCAGACTTGTTGAGCGGATGTGCCCAGGTCCATTTTTGGTTTTGCCCCCCAAACAAGACCCAAACCGCAAAAAACGTACGGCTCAAGGCTCAACTCCAGCAACTCCGATATGGCTGTGGGTCAAAACCAATGGGATCCCATTCTGGGGTAGGTGCACCACCCATTTTAGTCTATGTCAGTGGTGGACTGGGGGTACGATTTGGGTCTTGACCTCCATGGCCATATGTGGCCCAACGCGTCGAACATCCAACGGCTAGGGCGAGGCGCCACGACTCGGGCGCGACTCAAAGACGTTTTTGCCACGCCTCGCCCAAGGCCATCCAGGCCACCGCGGAGGCCAGCAGGCCACAGCTGCCTGCGGAAGGCGCAACGCGAGGGCATCCGCATTTCTCGAAGTCGGGGCCCCGAGATGCCCCAGTTCTTAGACGGGTACGGCCTTAACACTGTGGGTATTCGCCACAATTCCAGAAATGATCCCTGATATTCCCCAATTGTTTGGCAGGTACCGGGTTGACCAGTGGGGAGACCAAACATATGACTCCGAGGGAGCAAGTCAAACGTTTGAGTGGGATATGTCGGATCAACCCCCGCAAGACTCACAAACCAAGCCAAAGTCTAAGGCAAGCCAAAGTCTAAGGAACCGCAGATAGACAAACATTTCGCAGTTGCCAGGTGAGTTTTCCGCAAAAAATCATCCATCGTGAAGTATACCTGGTTACGGAACACCCGCGCAAATGGATGACGCGCCCGGCCTTCCTCCGGGTTGCCAGCGAGATACTCCGCAGCCTCTGGAGAGGGGTCTTCCCCACTTGCATGACCCTGGTGGCTATTAGTCTAAAGAGTGTGCAGGCTCTACCCTGACGACTTAGGGGGGAACCAGAACAAGTACTCACTTCACTAGGCCGTCCGTTTTCTGATCCCCTGCTAACAATGACGAACAGTTGGTGGGGTAAATGGACACCCAACCACTAAGCCAACTAAAAAGCTAAGGAACCGCACGGCTGGAGACCGCCAAGTGAAGTGGGACCCGTAGGCATCCAGAGCTATGAGTTGGGCCGCTTGGAAATCAGATTCGCTTCCCATGGGAGAAACGGATTGGGCACCTGGCTCTGTCTTCTAAAGGGAAGCCAAACGGAACACCACCAGTTGGGCGGTCGCTGTGAATGTGTAGGGCCGGCTCCCTCCAAATACAAGTTGAAAAGAGGAAGCAAGCCACGGGTCTTCGACATTTTGCCCGCTACCCTCCGGCAAGCCGCAGAAAGGTCTTGGGAAAGGCCATGTCTATATTATATATCCACATTTCGTTTAACGTCTAGTGGTTTAATGGAAAACCCATTAGTTGGCAGAAAGTTGAAGTCCTAACATCCAAGAAAAAATGCACCAAAGTTAAGCAATTGGAAGCAAAAGGAGTTGATCTGAGTGGGTTGGCTCGAGCTGCAGCCGTGATGGCGGAGTCCGCCGTGGAGTGCTGCAAGGCCTGCCATAAGGCGCCGAGCTCGACTTCGCTGAGGTGGCTTTCTTCGGAGGGATGTTCAACTTTCCCTCCCACCAATTGATGTGGAACCTGACAGGGGAGTTTTGGAAGACAATGTTCCTTTTACAGAGACACCAACAAACGCTGAGAACGCTTGCTTGGTTTCCAATTGAACAAACGCTCCAAAGGACTAGCCTCAGAATATGACACATTTGCAGGATTCCCATCCAATACACTACCTCACCCAAGACCATTTGACATTTTAGGGGACGTAGAGCTACCCTGAGACTTGCAAGCGTTGCCACCAGCAACGGGCGTTTGGGGCAAATGCAAGAACCCAGATGCGCTAATGAAAACCAGCGCCAGCTTGGGAAGACATCCGGCCACCATTTTTTCACCAGACGGATTGATGTACTTCCCATGCCCTCTCTGCTTCTCAACTCTGTCCGGCGAGGGTTTGCACACGTTGCCTCCGGCCACCATGGTTTGGTGCACAGAATTCCCTTTCAAAAAGAACGTCATCCAAAAGGCGTCTGTGCACTTCAATGTTTGTACCTTCGGTCAGTCACAACTTGGATCTCCGTATAGACGAGGGTGCAGTATGCGATATCTTGTTGGAGTAGCTTCACGATGTCATTCTGCGAAGCAACAACTCCGGTGATGACGGGGTGGTCGAGATACCTCTTGGTGCATCGTGTTGCCCCCTCTTCTTTTTGGGGCGGAGAACTAAAAGCACAAAGTTCATCTTCGGGGATCCGAAGGCGTGTACGTTTCCCACTCCACGTTGCCTTGGGAACCAAAGGAAAGCAAAAGGGAAGCCACCCATGTTGGGGGTTCCCTCAATTTACGTGTACCCGGGCGGTCGGAAATGTGTGTGCATGCGATTTGAGGGTATCCTCGCAAGGCTACTAGTTTAAAGGAAACCACAAGGACAACCGCTAGACCTTGGGGCCCCCCTATTTGCGGCACATACCCAAATGGACCTCTGGTTCAACAACCTCTGTTTGGCGACGTCAGTTTTCGCCTCCAGGAAACTCTTCTGCATCTCGGAGCAGTCATCCGGCAGCTCCCTAGGCCCAAATTGTCTCGTGAAAGGGGTTTGGACCCCAAAATTCGCGGGGTTTTGCTAGTGGTTGCCTTGATGGAATACCCCGGATTTCTTAACGCCTGGTTGATTAATAGGGGGATTCATCACTTTCGGATGGAACACCCCCTATTAACAGGAGGGCACCATTACCCAATAGGGCACGCAAAAAAAAGAGAGAAAAACAAACGAGCCACGCCATTGTTTACTTCCGCGGCCCTCGCCTGTACCCGTGGGTCGTTGGGAAGGCGGGTTTGTAGGGACCCTGGTTTGTCCAAGCACACGCTGAGCCCCAAGTTGCATCAACAGGACCCTCTTACTTTGTTGCTGAAGAGAATCCTCGAAAGACATCAATTGAGACTTCCTCAAACGGCAACCACGTCAAGGGACCCAGTTCTGGGATGTGTCTCTAAATGCGGGGATGCCTCAAAAAGGGAGTCTTCCATTGATCTTTGGTTTACGAGACCGCTGAAAAACCGATATCCATCCATCTGTGTAATATGCCACTATGGAGCCGAACAAAGCTTCTACATGGGTGGCTCGTCTTTTTTGGAGGGTACCTTCTTTTGATGGCTTTAAAGGGACACCAAAAGGAGCACCACGATTCTAAGCATGCTGGTGCTCAGCAGGGAATCTGGGAATGAACCCAGGGGTCCCCTGAAAGGAAACCAGAAGGGATGGTTTATGAGGGTCATTCCCTCATTCCCTGCCTATCGCACCAGCAAGTAAGGCAAGGCATACGGGGTGCTCCCCAAAACAAGAACCTTCGTGGCCCGCGAAGCCGGGTCGCTTGAACTGCCAGCTCTCCTGTACCATGGCCAGCAAGTTGAAGACGATCTCAGCCGAGAGGGTGGCTGAAGCCCCCGCAATTCTGAGTGGATTGGCCAGAGAAGTCCAGGAACTTTTCATTTACCACTAAAATGGTCCAAATCCAACAAGTTACTGAACTCAGGGAGTAGCGTTTCAAGGCTTGAACTTTGGATAGGCCACAGAGTTTGTGTCTTGGAGAAATACTTCAAACTGGTTGTCCATCTTGGCATTGACTGTGGTCACGAAAAGAGCAGTTCGCCTTATGGCGACCATGTTTGTCATGGAACCAGGCCGCCAAGTGCTCCATCCAGTCATGTTCCGTCTGCATGGGCCACTTTTCATCTGTTGGGCGGAAGACAGAAGGCCCGTCCACCTCTTTACACTCCTTGCAAGGGTAAGCGCTGGGGTACCCACCAGTCCCAGGTTCGGACACGTGTTCTAATTTTGGTTCCCACGAAAGAAAAGTGCAGCCGAGCAAGCACAGAGCTGAGCGCACCTTTTTGTTCCCGGCCAAGGAGCACGTCCACGGGAAGCTGTCAAGGCCGTCCAATCCAAGAAGATTACTGAGTACCTCAAGCGACAAAAGGACTGGGCAAGTTGTCAGTTTCCAGTGCAATCACTCTTTTTCCCCGGTTGCTTCTGAAAAGCAATGGGACAAACAGAGGGTGAGAAACTACTACAGGGTCCTCCACGGTCTTGGGGAGACGGGCATTTTGCGTTGGAGCAAGGTCGTGCCCATTCGACTGAATCGAAAGGCAGAAGGGTAGAGATTGGCCAGCCATTTGGCCGAACGAACTGAAATTGGGCTTCTGGTGAACTTGGTTGCATCTGGGTTTCAGGCTCTTCACACAATTTGTCAATATTGAATCCAATACTACAATCCAATTCAAGCCTTCGAACAGGTTTCGAAAATTCAAAAGGACAACCCGATAGGCTGTTGAACCGGTATTTGATGAAGGGAAACAAAAGTAGAGCCTTCACATCAGTTTCTGAACGTCAACAAGTAACTTCTGAACTTGGCAAGTGCTATCCAAGGGTTTTGCTTTGTAAACTTCTGGCGTGGCAATCCTTAATAAGACTATGAAAACGAATCCCAAAGCTGCATTGATCGAAAACAATCAAACTCTTTTGCCAGACACTCGCATACGCACTCCCCGAGTTCTTAAATTTGAAACTTTTTGGGAAGACCTTTTAAGTGGTAATACTTTTTATATACCACTCAAGAGGTCTTCCCAAAAAGTTTCAAGTTTAAGAACTCGGGGAGTGCGTATACAAGTGTCTAGCAGAAGAGCTTGATTGATTTCGAACAATTCAGCTTTGGGGTTCCCAAAAGCTAAGGGGGGAACTCAATGATCGCACCCAAAGGCTCGGCCTGAGATCCTGCTTGTGGTCCTTGGGAAACCCGAGGTTCACATTGGTTCAGCATTGGGGTTGCGATATGAGGAAACTGTTGGTTACCCTGCAACACCAACCCAAAGAGAGTTCCCAAAAAGCGAGCCAAACCTATGTCTAGCTTACCAAAACATCCAGCGTTAAGCTTGAGCGTGTCTGCTTTTGAGAGTACCTTTTGGGGCGGTTTCAGAGTGAACGAAAAAAAGGAAGCCAAGGATAAATTTTGAGAAGGTCCCTTTGTGAGACCTTCCCCCCCATTTAGCTCACCCCGGCCCCCGCTCCCCCGGATCGGTGCTCTCGCTTCTTACCTCCCTGAGTCATTGGCCAGATCCATTGTTCAGCATTTGCGTTGACCAAAGGAAGTCAGGGCGTAAGACATTTCGGAGACCAGCTCATTGGTAAAAAAAAGAGTTCAAGCAAAAGTCCGAACAGCTTGTTTACTACTAGACGTGTTTTTCCTTTTTTGTAATGAGTCCAACTGCTAAAAAGCGAGATGCCTATTGACCTCAGCCCGCTGTTTTTTTCGCGGGAAGAGGCGCCCTCTTTTGGTTGGATTTCAGAAGCAACCCCTCCCCAAAGGGCACAGGGTTTAGCTCTGGCCATGAATTTAAAGGAGAAATACTCTCCCAAGTGGTTCCCAAGTGGTTGAACATAAATCTCTCTCAAAATGATTCCCACATTGTCAATTAAACATCACTGCGAGCAATCCACAGGTAATCTGGGTTTAGCGCAACATTGCTAGGAACTTTAATTAGCAACTTGTTGGCGAGCATTTAGGGGATTGGTTCCCTATTGACTCAGAACTCGAGTGGATTTCCATTGGCCAAACAAACGCGGCGCCGGTTTTGGTTGATTCCAAAGGGGCCAGCAACAAGGGCACGACTGGGTGTCTGGCTTGAAGCTCCCACCCATATTGATATCCCTCGCAAACTGCCGGCTTTCCCCTTGGTTTTCTTTTAAACCTCCCCCAAAAAGGGTACCATCAAAAACTTACTCGAGTCAACGGGTCTTTTCCTTTACGGGCACCAAAGCCTGGGTTCATTCCATTTCTTCCCTACCTACCGCACCAGCTCCAAACCAACACAGCGCCAAGGCGCAGGAGCCAGGTTTGGTCCACCAGCGTCAGCACGGGGTCCGAGCTCCCCTCGGAGCAGTGAAAGGAGGCCGCGAGGCCACTTCCGTCGCCTCGCGCCGAATGGAGCCGTCGAAGCGCCGCCCGGAAAGCTGGTTGAAGGGTCCACAAAACTAGGCGGGAATTAGGGCCCCGGCAACAAAAACATCTTTTTTGCCTGGTTAGTGGAAAACAAAGGGGACCCCAAAAAGGCAAAACATAAAAAAGGGAACTATTTCTGGGGAAGACAACTGAGAGACGCGCGGACTGGATCCAGACCTCTGCGGTGTGACTCGCAGGAATTGTTGTGTTACTGAGAATGCTTACAAAACTGGATATGCTCAAGATTGACCCTCCAAGCGCAATCCTTGGAGCATGCCTCAAAATGTTCACAGCGGACCGACAAAAACCAAGAAATGAGGCGGTGGGTGTCCTGGGTTCCCGCAGAAACACCACAGCCTTCCGAGAAAGGGCTCTCATACTGCGCCACAACATAATTGAAAGGTTCAAAGACTGACCTCTTTGTGTGTAAGCTGCAATTGTCCATCTGTTTAATAGGGGGTCCTTCAGTAACCACTTTTGACGTGGTTCCAACTCAAGCTCAGAGTAACTTGCATCAACAAGGGGCACGTGCTGGACTGCTGCTTCGAGCTTCGGTTCTCCCAAGAGCGCACTATGTACTCCTTGGTCGGTTCGCCTATTGGTGGGGTGCGATTTTTGGGGTTGGTTCAATTCACAGCGAAAGTTTAGAAGCCCCCTCATTTCGGGGGGCCTGCCTATTTTGTATGGATGTCTACCCGTTGTGTCTTCGGCGTTTGTTTTTTTCCATGTAGGGCGTGGAGGTTCATCAGCATGCTGTGAAGAACACCACATGGTAAATTACACTTGGTGCCCTACTTTATCTTGAAGAAACAGGTTTAGCCTGCCCCAGTTCCGTGGATTTCAGAAAGGACTTCCCCCTTTCAAACTTGGTTTCTGTTTCAGACGTTTGCCACCTCAACCCACCGAAGGTCGAGCCAAACTATTCTGTTGATTCTGAAGGGCCAAGGGCCTTGACTTTGAAGGCACAGAAAACGGTTTGGTTCCCACCAAGCCAGGTCAAAACAGGGACAAGGGTTCCACCCAAGCAAAATCGTTTGTCACAGATTCAAGCCCGGTCCGTCCTTTTCAGCCCACCCGAAACGGAACAAACCACACGTTTCGTCCCTGCGCCTGGCACCCGGGGGTCGCACTTGGCCACGTGCATAAAGAGGTACACCTCGAGTTGATTCCGGTGACCTCGTGGGAAGACCGAAGGGTTCAAAAGAGGGTTTCCGCTGATTCTCACCATTCGGCCGTTTCCCAAGGTGGGAGAACGGCTTGGTCAAACAGAAAGAGGGGCACTCAACATCGGTGGCTGTGATTTCTCGACCTAATTTTTTAGCAACCAACAACAGGCTGCCCTCCAACCCCGCCCCCATCGTGGGGTCGCTGGATTTCCCCTCCAGCAGTTCCAATGTGGATTCCAACTTAAAACTGCCAGTTTTGGAGATTCCAAAAAGGGAAGTCATCAAAAACTTGCCTCCCCTCCCCCCTCCCCTCCCCCTCCCCCTCCCCCCTCCCCTCCTTTCCCCTCCCCCCATCGACTTCAGCCGGGCCACTGCGGCGCAGGGCAGGGCACAGGCCTCCTCCACCCTCGGAGCACCGATCCATCGATCCATCGATCGGCAGTCGCTCCCTGGTGGCCCACAAGGTGAGCCACAAATCCCATCGTCCATTTTGGTTTGCGTTTCCTTTTGGACAAACCCAGTTCATAAATCTACACTTTTTCAGGCGAACATGGAAGCTCCCAGGAGCCGATCCTGTAAATGGGTTACCAAGTCTTCCATTTCGTTATGGGTCCGTTCGGGAGCTTCCATGCTTGAGGGAGTGTAATCCACTGTCGGAAGTCCCTCCTTTTGGACAAAAGGGTATTCATATTTCCCCTTCAAGCATCGTACTAGCAGGAAACTCTCTTTGAATGGGTCCCAAAAGGTGATGCCTTTATCCAAGGGGAAACATAGAGAGCCCAGGGAAAACATAGAGCTCTGGCCTATGCCAACCTAGACCCACGCCATGAGCTGAACAGGCAACGCCCGCAAGAAGTCCCCAATTAAAGCATAGAACACATCTCCATACTGACGTTATGGTTGCAATCCCATGGTCTCATTTCGTGGTGCGAAATGGATTTCGCAACCATCCACAGTGGAGTCCACAGTGGCGTAACCCGAAGACATAAAGTTTGTAGAGCCTCCTTCTGAATCAAACAGTGGGGTCACGATGACCCCTTGATTTTGTGGATATGACCTCACGATAATTCGGGTCATGGAGACTCCAGGCAACGTCCTTGTGTCGGCAAAAAAAAACAGGAAATTATTTCCAAAAGGTCTCTCTGGGGCGATTCGGTCACACCCTTGAGACCAGCCAAGAAAATGTGTGTAAGCTACAGAACACATATGTCTTTTGTTTCTAGATGTCTCCTTCCGGTTTGGAATTGAGAAATAAAGGCAATAAAGGCCCAAAGAGGGCCTTGGAAGGGTCTTTGGGGAGGCAAGTTTGACTTCACTCAGACTCGGAAAGCTCCCCGCCCAAAACAAAACCCACGCCCGAAGGCGATTCGGCTTCGGCTTCCGATTCCAAGCAGCTCGGAGTCCCCGGGGAGCTCGGAGATGCGGGGCAGCCAGGTTTCCGCGAAGCCTTCAAGGCCAGCACCTTCAGGAGTCGACTTTTTCGGTTTTTCGGGCAAGTTGGGATCAGTTGGGACTCCGATTGCTAGGAATAACCGGGAAAAACTGGGAAGCGACAAATGAAGATAGTTGGCCAGTTTCGACCTGAATTTGCCTCTAACATGGTGTGTGGATGTGGATGTACGTGGCTGTGGGTCAAAAATAGGTACCCAACAATGGAAGCCTGGTAAATGGAAACATGGACTAAAACAGGCGGTCCTGGTGGTTTAATTTTGACCCACACCCACATGGCGCTGGGAATGATCGTCACCAAAGGGTCTTGCTTATCTATTTTCACCCACCCACCCGGCGTGAGCGCCTGGCGATCGGCTCCATCTCCGGAACAAAATTTTCCCAAAACCGGAAAGAGGGAAGCGGCAAACACAAAGCTTGAAATGATCAAGGCTCTCCGACAATCAGGCTTCCCGCAAAAAGGGTGACTTGAATTGGTGGTTTGGTGGTTTGGTGGTTTGGTGGTTTGGTGGTTTGGTGGTTTGGTGGTTTGGTGTTTTGGTGGTTTAGTGGTTTCGTGGTTTGGTGGTTTGGTCGCTCAGGCGAGTTTCCCATTCACTCATAAGAACCAGGGGTTCACATCTAAATCCAAAGCACCAACAGAAACAAACACATGTCAGGGATGCCTATTTCATTAAACCCACATCGATCCAAACTGCTGGGGTTTCTTAGACCCCGAACATGGCTTCGGTTTTTGGGTTCCAACTCCAAACAGCAAACCCCGCCCGAAGAACTCAAAAACGGGGCCTGTGGCCACAAATTCCCTTGAACAGGTGCTGGTTTGTTTTTGACGATGCTCTCGGCAACCGTACATTGCTTTATATATAGTAATTTTACAAATGCACCACTTTTCTTCCTGGGTTAGCGGCTTGTACTTAAAGAAGTTTGGACAGCTTGCGGTTCCCTCTGGAACATGTCATCATGAGTTGCCCAAGCATGCCTTCTTGTTGCCCCATGGTTCTCGCCTTGCCCTCCTTACTTGTCTTTACCAGGACATGTTAGAACACCCACCTCAGCTTTTGCCCCCAACCAAAACATCAAACTGTTGATGCACGAAATCCTGCACCACTTGCGGTAAGCAACTCTGGAATGCTGAGTCCCCTGTAAATATCAACAATCAATGGCTTCCCATATGTTTACTTCTGGCCGGTATTTCGTTTAGTAAGCCTTGGACATCATTTTAGAAGAGATCCAAGAACAAACACATTCTGAGTGCATAACGTTTTGCTTCCCGATAGAAATGCCTGTCCAAAAAGCATAAAGTCCAGGAACTCACGGAGAACATAGCAACATGAGACCCCAGGAGGCTGCCGAGCGGAAGAAGGCGACTGGCTCCTCCAACGACCGGCCTGTGAGGAGGATCTCCTTGATGATGCCTAGCACGTCACCGCCAAAGGCCTGAGTCAGTGAGGGATTTCAGGTACCCACCGGCAATTTATGAAGCAGTCTCCTGAAAATGGTCGGTTTCCTAGAGCCTACCCCAAAAAACGGCCAAGTTGGTAGTTTTCCCGAAGTGGTGCGACCATTTACGCAACTGTCCTTGTGGGGTGATTTGGGGGACCATGCTGAGTACATCCCCAGGCTTGGGCTGGTCTGCACACCTTTGCGGAAGCAAGGTGGGTTCATCAAGGATCCATGCAAATGTATCTCGACTGTAAGCAGCAACAAATACACATCTAGACATACGCGCAGGGGTATAGGTGCACATACTGCGTAACATGTGCATGCACGTATGGGTAATGCAACCAATAATAAGACACATAATAGTAATGATCAACGCATATTCGACATAATAAGGCTACGGCAAAAGTAACATAGTAATAACAATGGCAACCACAACAGTAATGATCGTAAATAGTGATCAAACTAACAATGACCGCACTAATAGACACAACAGTAATAGCACTATCACTAAGAATGATACTAACAATAAGCAACACTAAAACAAGACTAACCGCAATAGCAACACCTATAACACTACGTAGCATTACCACCACCACCACCACCACCACCACCACCACCACCACCACCACCACCACCACCACCACCACCACCACCACCACCACCACCACCACCACCACCACCACCACCACCACCACCACCACCACCACCACCACCACCACCACCACCACCACCACCACCACACCAACACCAACACCCACCAACCACCAGCACCAGCACCAGCACCAGCACCAGCACCAGCACCAGCACCAGCACCAGCACCAGCACCAGCACCAGCACCAGCACCAGCACCAGCACCAGCACCAGCACCCACCAACCCACCCACCAACCCACCAACCCACCAACCCACCAACCCACCAACCCACCAACCCACCAACCCACCAACCCACCAACCCACCAACTCACCAACCAACCAACCCACCAACCAACCCACCAACCAAACCCACCAACCCAACCCACCAAGCCACCAACCAATCAACCAATCAACCAACCCACCAACCCACCAACCCACCAACCCACCAACCCACCAACCCACCAACCCACCAACCCACCAACCAACTCACCAACCAACCAACCCACCAACCAACCCACCAACCAAACCCACCAACCCAACCCACCAAGCCACCAACCAATCAACCAACCCACCAACCCACCAACCGGCCAACCCACCAACTAACCCAACCAACCCAACCCACCCACCCACCCACCCACCTACCCACCCAACCAACCAAGCCACCAAGCCACCAAGCCACCAAGCCACCAAGCCACCAAGCCACCAAGCCACCAAGCCACCAAGCCACCAAGCCACCAAGCCACCAACCGACCAACCGACCAACCCACCAACCCACCAACCCACCAACAAACCAACCCAACCCACCCAACCAACCCACCCAACCCACCCAACCCACCCAACCCAACCCACCCAACCCACCCAACCCACCCAACCCACCCCACCCACCCAACCCACCCCACCCACCCACCCACTCACCCACCCACCCGCCTGCCCGCCCGCCTGCCCACCCACCCACCCAGTCACCCACCCACCACCACCACCACTTCTCCTCCTAGTACAACTACTACTATGTCTACTAGTCCTACTTCTAGTCCTACTCCTACTCCTTCTCCTACTCCTCCTGCTACTACTACTGCTAGCCACTGCTGTAACCATGTGAACAAATAGTAATAGTCTTAATACTCATGATGTGTGACGTAATGTACCGAGCGTAGTAACACATGCTTGTCATGCATGTAGCACATGTGACATATGCAATGTATGCAAATGATGCAATGCATGCAGAAAATGCAATGCACGTAATCAATGAAATACATGTAATACATGCAATGCATGGCGTGCATGCAACGCATGTATTGCATGTAATGTACTATGCACTGTATGTATTGCATGTACTGTGTGCAATGTATGCAGTGTATTGTGCAGGCAAGGTCATGCAATGTAACGATATGATTTGATACGACATAACATGGCGTGCGACCTATCATGCGTGCATGTGCTCCACAGAATGTGGATGGCTACTACGCCCTGCGCAAAATGTCTGACCTGTCGCAGGTTGGTGGGACTTCATTTCCCAAACAGTTTTAGTCCACAGATCCAGGCCATGGCCAAGGAAACAGGACCCTGACCGACAGCTTCCTTTTGACTAAGCGAACAGTTTCCACTGTTACCTGTACAAATCCTGTTCCTGGAAGTATGACACCCAGAGTTGTCAAACAGGCATCGGCAAAAGCGGCACTCTGATTCTTTTGAGAATTCTCTGTTGTTGTCGGTTGGGATCGTTGCAAACCTTCACTTGCAGATGAGTGAAAGTTGTCTCTATTCCCCTTTTGGCTGAGTCATCCCTGCTACTGACCTTCTTGGTTGTGTCATCCCTGCAACTTGTAGAGGACAAATTGGGCCTGCCAACTAGGGGCAACCCGGGCCCGAGCGCCTCGCAAAGGTCCATGCGCAGGCCTTTGGTCATCAAGGGCAGGTCTGTTTCTGCGTCCTGCACGTCACTTGCTCGGACGAATGACCCTGGGTGCCGAATATCCCCAGATACGCCCGCACGAGATCTGCCTTACCCACTCAGGGAACCTCGGTTGCTTTCTGCTCCCCTGCTAAAAGTTTAACTTTTAGTGGTTTAATGGAAAAGCCATTAGTTGGCAAAAAGTTAAAGTCCTAACATCCAAGCAAATGCAACAAAGGAACCTCTTCATCAGGGAGGTCAAATACTTGCCTAGCGTTGGGTGGTCATCCAAGCAGACCGAGATGAGCCGTGCTTGTGTTGACCAGTCAAGGACTCTACCCCCACCCAAGTGTTGAACATGGTTCAGATCAAAGGCCCGGACACAAAAAGTGCTGCGTTCTTTGTTGGTTGACTTCAAAAATGGACCCCCCAAAACCCAAAGTTGAAAAAAAGGAAGCGCCCGCTGGGTGTCTGAGGACCTAGCTGAGGAGGGGGCTGGCGCTACCCCGTCTGAAAGCAAGCAACCGCGAGCAACACAAAAACATGGAGCAGCCTCCAAATCCATGCTCAGAAGTCCCATATTGATGGCCAGCTGCTGGCATGCCTGGAATTGTGTTCCCTCAAAGGAGTGCCTTGCTACAATTGCCGCCGTGCAACAGTTGCTGAACCGTTTCAGGCAAACGTCCCTTGTACGGGGGCCTGCCAGCTTGTTGCCAGTGCTCTTCTTTCACGGTGAAAGCCGGCGCGGAGCAGGGCGATGAATACATGCTGGGCAAATGGACCCCTCTTTTAACCAACAGCCTTGACCATCAAATGATATGATCTCGCAACAATCTGCTTGTCATCCTTCTTGCTGGAAAAGACAATGCAAACAGGAATCTTAAGTTTAATCATATTCCTTTTTTTCCCGCCATCACGAGACTGAACATGTCCTCGCAAATGCAGAATTTGTTTAGAGCCTGGAGGTCTCCACTCCGATGGAATCCATGACTTGGTCGTTCTGAGGGTACCCTTTGCAGTTGAGTAAACCAAACACCCGACAACATTGTGGATCCCCTCTTGAAAAGCAGACAGGAATTTCAGGATGGCCTCCCTGAACCACAGCGACTCCCAGCCCTCGGCTCTTTCGGCTCTTGTAAAAGGGTCCCGGAAACTCTCAAAATGGAAAGCTGCCGCCCCCGCGGGCGTTTCGAACCCCACGCGTATGCCTGCCATGTTCGCAGGGGAGCCGCCAGCGCGGCAGGCAGAAGGCCAGCCCAGCGCATCAGGCCGTGGACGTTGTTCTCAACATGGCTATGGGTCGAAATTTATCCACCAGGGGACCGCAGGTGTTCGTCTTTGGCTGCATTTATTAGGGCAACCCATGTTCGGCACCTACTTTTGACCCACAGCCACATGGGATTCGGGGCTCTGGCAGGGGACAAAGTAGAAGCCAACCTTTTTGGAACTCATGGCAAACCAAATCCAGTCCATTTTGGGAGGACCGCTTTGAGAACATTTCTTGGCAACAAGGAACCCATGGGAAAGCAACTCCATGGCGAACAAAACTCGTCGCCTTGTTGGGGAAACTCCCAAAACCAGACGTGGTCCGAAACGTTTTTGGGACATGGATTTTGCGTCTCAAAAGGACCGTGTTGGCCTAAACTAAGCTTTTTCTTGAACCTTGGCAATACACCCATGCAAACTTTGGGGGGCAGGGTTCCGTTTTTGACCTGCTTTGGGTAGATTTAAACCCAGAGATTCCCCTTTCGTGGGAATCAACCACCCCTGGGTTTGAGTCTGCCTTGGGGTAGTCAAAAAACGGAACCCTGGGGGGGGAGGCTCTAGCTTGAGCTCCTGTCAGGCTCGTTGGCCTCGGGGCGAGACAGGCAGCGCAATGTGTCGCTAACCCAATGCAACTCAACAGATGGGTTGATCAATACTCCAGGCCCCCCAAATGGCTGTGGGTCAAAATTAACCACCAGGGGACCACAGGTTTTGGTCCATGTTGCCACTTACCAGGGTTTTTCATTTATATAGGGTACCTATTTTCGACCCGCACCCCAAATGACCATGGGTAGCTTTGGCCATTTGTGTGGCAAGCATCATGTGTTTAGTGGTTTTCCAATGGTTATCTCATGCAAAGGACCTGTTTTTTCCCCCAGAGAAGCAGAAGCTCACCTGTCGCCCAACAGTCAACAAGCTGCCCAGGTTCCGTAGTTGCCCTGCCCTTGGGAACCCAGGATTGATAAGACCCTGTTTGAATAAGGAGGCAACCAATTTTAGAGGAAGTCCGCTTGTTTGCTTTGCTGGTCATTTTGTTCTTCTTCTGGTATATATTCAAGGCATCCTGGCGCCCTCTTTTCTTTCTGCTTTCTTTTCGGAAGGCATCCCAACCACCACTGGGGGAAGCTGACCATCATTGGCCCACAGAAGCCAGGAGACTCTTCATGATAGTCAAACCATGGACAAAATAGTCAAGACCACACTTAGATGTTTTAACGGTGGATTCCATCAATTGTTACAAGTCTTTTTGCACTCAAATGCTATTCCCTGACTGACCCCTACCTCCGACATAGCTAGCGATACCCCTCTTTTCCGCCGATTTCTCGCACATGCAGACGGTTCCTGCGTTAATATGTACTGGGTTGTTCAAAACGCCGGGGAACCCGAATCGTATTCTGCAATCCGCAACACCACCGCGACATGAAGGGTACTACCAACTGGCATAAGGATTGAGTATTGATTTGAACAACCCAGTAAAATCGGTATGTGACGGTATGTGCCAAAATGGAGCTTCCTGTTTGTTTCCCTTTGAAACTATTCACAAATCAAACCCTCAAAAAAGACAGCCCTAATTAAATGTTGCATGTCTGACAAACGGTTGCGTGGCTTGTCGCCGGCTTGGCTTCGAATGGCACTGGAACCGCCGTCAAAACCGGGCAGCTTTCCGCTCGAGTCTTGGACTGGGCGGGCTATTCGTTCCCTTCGGGAGACGCCGGCGATTCATTCCAAAAAAAACATCTCATGGTACATGCCTCACTTGCCAAGTGGCCATGGGGAAGCAAACGCATTGCTTCGAATTGCTTGGGGGCGATGTTAGCACCCATGCAATATCGAGGCTTTCCAAAAAAGGTGAAAGGCCAAAACAGGGAGCTGGATTGAAAGGGGCATCCCCTGCAAACTAGGATACAGCAGGAGGACTGAAGGTCTGGACAGGTTATTTCGGTCAAAACTCGGCCATAGACTAGCGGCCCCACCAAGGAACCCCTTATTCATCGGGGTTTTTCAATCCGCCCAGTTCGGCTCCCGTCTTGCTTCTGTTTCCTATCTACTTGACGTCTGAACAGCTAGGATCTCTGCGTCAGATTCCTCCATATTTGAACAGATTGAAACAGTGACTGGTTTTTGTCGCGAACACTTGGATCAACCGCAACAATTCCCAGCAAATTTCTGGGCACTGAGCTCTGCGCTCCTCTTCCTGGCCTCCAACCTCCCAAAATTGCAAAGTTCGTTTCTGGACTGACACTATTTACAACTATAGCTTTGCAACCTAGAACTCCAAATTCGGGCTAAAAGCCCCTATCATTTTGGACTGCTGCGGCTCGTATCCCTGAGTTGCATCCCAGAAAAAAAGCCATGGAATAATGTTTCTTCAATAGGACACCTGCAGGAGGGTTCGGCTCAGAACTTCAAACACTTCCTATGTCATGGGACTAAATCAAGTTTGGATAGACTTGATTGAGAGTAGATAGCACAATTCTCCAACTTAGCTTTAGTCATCCTAGTCATCTCGTTTACTTAAGTTTACTTCGCCACGTCTGCCTGGAATTGTGCCATTTACCAACTCGGATTGTCTTTCAACTTGGTTGCAAAACCCAAGGGTAGAACAATGGCTCCTGGACAAGGAAACCAGCGGAAATGGGTTTGTAAACGTGATGGAGACATTTGGGTGTCTTTTGAGAAACTCATCTTGGCTTGAAGCCAACGGCAGATTCTGGGCATGGCTCACTTGGTCATACTCGGCCAGCGCGGAAGCCGCGCTAGCGGCTCAGGCGCTTCAGTCCTGGTCTTGGGTCTGCGCTGAAATCGGCTTTTCTTTTGGTTTCATGTTTTTTGTCTTGTCATTCAAGTCTGCGTCGAAATCGGACTGCCTTTAGATTTCATGTTTTGTCCCGAAAGAGCAACTGCTGTTTGCATCTGATCGTTTCAATTGGACCGCAAATCGCCAACAACTGGAGAACATGTTTGGGCAGCCAACTCAAGCTGCCTGGTCAATGACAAGGCATTGCCTCGCGTGAATGGGGTGCAAAGAACGAAGAACAGCCAACTGGGTAAACCAGCCGTTGTTGTACAAACTTGTGGCAGCCTTGTTTTTCATGCCCTGGAGCAAGCGACAGCGCAAGTAAGTGTCACGTAAAACCACAAGCGCAAGCGCTGCGCTTGTGGCTGGTTGCTCTGCTTCCAAAAACATGTGACCCAACACAAGCAGGGAGATACGAGGGGCATAAGCCGAGAACCCGGCAGCTAAGCGGATTGGGGGGAAATAAGAGTTCACCTCCCACCCACTAACATGGAATCCCTTCTGGGAGGGTACATTGAAATGCCTCCAAAACAAACTAGATCTCACAAGCCCACTGGATTTCCAAAGGAAGAAGGGTGCCCTTGTTATGTTGGCTGGTATGTAAAGGGACACCTTCCCAAGTCAACCTCTGATTTATCTTGAGTATAGCACCCAGCAGGGTGACTTTCTGTGTAGTGAGAATTAACATATATTGCGTTGATTCCTTGGATTAGAAAGCTCCTACGAACAAAATGAAGGGCAACATTGTCACTACCCCCCACCCCAAAGAAAGAACAGAAAAGGATGTACAATTTGTTGAAATGTGCAAGGGGTAGCCCAAACTACGCGAGCGTTGCCCGAATTGGATGCGGGGCAACTGGAGAGTCATCTTGGTGGGCAACTTAGTGAGTCTTCCATGGAGTACTAATATGTGTTTCAAATTGGCGATAGGCTACTGACAGGAAGCTGATCCCTGAAATCAAAAGAGCTCCATCTCATTGCCTTTAGTTTTGTTCGGAAACTTGTTTTGGACTGAAGAACTGGTTGACAAAACCAAGAAAGTTCAACTGTCGGGCAAACAAATGGAACCACCACCTACTCAAACAAACCCCCGCCAATAATACATCGCATTTGCCAGCTCATCGGGAAAGAAACAATTTCTGGAACGTACACAGGCTGTTGGTCGAATCAAAGATCACCTCGTCTTCACAGGTTGTACAACTGTTTTTAGAGCTGTAGTTAAAAAGTTAGAACTAAAGTGTGTGACAATCAAGCTGGGTGTTAGCTGATCGGGTGTTGGTCAAACATTATAGCCGACCTGGAACCCTGGCCAAGGAAATCAAGGACCAAAAAATGCGGTCACCTGGTGGTCTAATTTTGGACCATACCCAATTAGGGGGTCTGAGACAGAAACAATAACACCCTCCTGTGTACCTTTGAGGCTTCCTTTCAGAGAAATCACAAGTCATGCGTTACACAGCACCTCAGGGTGAATCATGCCGAGCCCCGAACCCTGGACGGTGGGTGTTCTGACCATGTCCGTGTCACCCTGACGTAGGCACGTCTGCAAAAAGTCAATTTTTCCTTTTGTCAGCCTGCACTAAGCACGAAGCCAACCCAACAGCGAACCACGCACATTGCATACCAAGGGAACAATCGATCACCTTGTGGGGCAACCGCAACGCAGCAAGCAAATGCAAGCAATGGACAATCCAAATTAAAATGAAGAAATGAGCAAAAAAGGGGCCGGACGAGAGTTGCTAAGGCTTTGCGCCTGGAGGCATGCCGTAGTTTACATCCCAAAGCTTGGAATATCTGAACATTTGGGTGTGTTTTTGAAACTGGGACTCCTAAACATAGGTAGTTTCTTTGTGGGTTCCCGTGAAACCAACCCAAACATGGTACCTTGTCAAATTACACACCAACTAGTTCATGTCTTGTTTAACAATGACAGCCGCGGATCCTCTCAAAAACCCAAGGGTGTGCGGCCGCGCAAGTTCCACAGTTGGGGCGAACGGTGCATGGTGCTTCACAAGCCAAGCTAAGCCCAACGCACTAGTGCTCACTCAGCCAAAACGCATATTGCATCCCATGGCGTCTAGGCGCAAACACACATTATACGCGGTTTGAAACACATTCGCTGTGCGAACCAAGGCGAACGCATTGCCCTTTTAGACATCCAAATGAAACTCATGCCGAAGACATGACAAACACACAAGGGCCAACATAAGAAGCCCTCCCTCTTGAGACACCCATTAGGGGCTAGGGAAAGGGCATCATGATCA